TATACTACATCGTGATGCGTTTTCAGGACATTCTGAAACGTAACTTTTTTTTCAGACCCAAATACATAAAGTGTTTTTTTTCAGGAAGTACCTTCCTAAGCTGTCTTTAAACACATTCACATAGCTAGCCCGCATGTACTCCGATCTGCCTGAATCTCGATCAGAGTCCCGCCCAGAGCGCGTTTGCGCCACGCCCTGATGTGCACGACGGCCCACAATAACACGGGGAGGACCCGTCCATTGCTGCTTGCAGCTTTAATTAACTTTTATAGTTTAATCAGGGGGATTTTCATTGCATTAAAACCTTTGATTTAATTGGAATTCAATACTTAATGAACCAGTATGTAGTATTTAGGGGGCTCTATCAGCAGAAATAACATTAAATATTAATAATTTTGTTTTTATTAGAATTTAATCACCTGTAACTACACAGCGGTCTGTTTTCATTAGTTTAGAATGAGATATTTGTAGCCACTTGGAGTGTTTTCTTTCACAACTAGTCTGCAGAATTAACAAAACTTTAGAGAGGACCTTTACTGTTGAAGTGGCACCGACTGTAATTCTCCTTCACAAGAAAGGGTGCTGAGAAAGATTCAGTTAGTTACAGTCTACAAACTCACCACTAGATGCCAGTAAACCCCAAAATAATCCTTTTCCCCCCTATAATCTGTCTGCCATCCACACTCACCACACTATACAACTGTAGATCCAATGAAGTGTTAATACTATACTGGTAAATGTGACAGCTACCCTCAATATTTGTCTGATTTAGTCAGTGTTTGATGTCCCTACATCACTTTTAAATCCTCTGTGTGTCTATTGCAGGGAGTGATCAACAACTCCGTGCTGGGCTACTTCATCGGAAGAATCTACCTGTATCTGATGAAAGTGGGGCTCTCCAAGGATAAAGTGCGTTTCCGTCAGCACATGGACAACGAGATGGCTCATTACGCCTGTGACTGCTGGGATGCTGAGTCCAAAACCTCCTATGTAAATCTCCTCTCTTTCATTCACCGGCTTATGTGACAGTTGAAAACAATGGAGCCTCATGTGTGTTTTTTATTGTTGTTTTTCTGCCTCAGGGATGGATTGAGATCGTGGGCTGTGCTGATCGCTCCTGTTACGACCTTTCATGTCACTCCAGAGCCACCAAAGTCCCTCTAGTGGCAGAAAAGCCACTGAAAGAGCCCATATCCTTCTATTGTCCTCATCTAACAACAGCCACTGTAATCACACTGTGTTATACTGACTTTTTTTGTCTCTGTTCTGGCATCAACTGTGGCCGGAGGCATTATGTTTACGGGTGGTCTATCTGTCCTATTCACTTGGATATGAGGAGCTGGTTAGATTTTGGTTGTCACTCTGACCACTCAAAGCACATTTTTGGGCTGTAACTGTAGAATTCATGCACTAATTGTGACACAATTTCATACAAATATCTACTAGGATAAAATAATTACGTAAGTACATTTTACATGCACAGGTCAAGTTCACTGTCACGTCATAATGTTCTCCAATAAACCTTTCCTGGCTGTTATTCAACACCATACCTCAGAAACAGAAGGCGACATTGTGACTATATTTTCCATTTGGTTGGATATCAATTTGGTGACACAAATTCTTTGGTCTTCACTACATATACTATACTAGTTTGGACCGATGTGGATATAATCTGCAACTTGACTGGCTGGCAGATGTATTGTAGTTGTTTTTCCTTTAGATTACAAGACTTTGCTGTTTATCTAACCTCACATCAGGTACAATACTATCTATTCTTCATTACAATCTGTGTTTTTTTTTTTTTGCATCTTGTGAGCTTACACTGGACCCAAAACCGTATTTAAAAATGAAAAATGCATTTATACTAAAACCAATGGATAGCAGCAGTGTTGTTTTTGCTATGTTTTGGATACTACATTACCGCTAGGTGTCACCAGACTCAAAAATGTGCAAATCCTACACACAAACTTTATTTTTACAGCGCAAATTTTGCATAAGATTAAATAAAAACAGTTTTATTGCAAAAAAATTAGCGAATAGTCTTGACATTGTCAATAAAACTGAAATAAAATACATTTAAAAAGAGCAAAGACAGTTTTAATATTACAAAATAGCAACATGCATGTATGTCTTGTCTACTAAGTGCCAAAATGGTATATTGTCAGTATTGGTACACAGTGTAAATTGTGCTGAAGTTGTGCAGTCTATATGTGCTGTTGTAATATTACACCTTAACTTCTTCAAACAAAACAGTAAACGTTGTCCAGTTTGAGCCCAACAAAGGAGCCATAGGAATGGCCTACAAGAAAGATGCCAAGTTGGCTCTGGAGTACCTGGCTGTGTGTGATGAATGCTACATCAGTGATCAGGAGAAGCTTCTCAGTGAAACAGGGTAAGTAACGACCACTGCAGTACACGCAGTTTAAGATCTGGTCCGTAAAGTTCGCTTGTGAGTCTTTATTCCTCCGGTAATGTTGTGTTTGTGTCTGCAGAGAGTTCAGCTTTGAGACGGAGGGAAAAACCTTCAGACTGACCAAAGACATGGTCAGCGTGAAGAGGTTCCAGAAAACTCTGCATGGTAAGAGGGGACATACAAACCTGCTGTGAGTGAAGCAGTGTGTTGTTCTGGTGGGAAAACAACCGTCTCTGTTTTCTGCTGCCACAGTGGAGGAGATTGTTCCCAACGTAATCGAGCCCTCGTTTGGCATCGGCAGAATCATGTACTCCATCTTCGAGCACTCATTCCGCGTCCGGCAGGGGGATGAACAGAGGACGGTAAGAAAGCTTCAGACGGGGAATCAGATCTGAGTGAGAGTCATTCGCTTGTTTTGTTTGAGTTTAAGTTGCTTTGTTTCTTGTCCAGTATTTCAGCTTCCCTGCCACTGTGGCTCCGTACAAATGTTCCATCCTGCCTTTGAGCCAGAACCAGGACTTTGTGCCATTTGTCCACCAGTTATGTGAGTTTGATAATGTTAGATTTCAAAACAGTATGACATATTGGGAAATACCTTAATAAGAAAGCTGATTTCTCTAGAACTGTTTAGCTTAGCTTAGCATAAAGGCTAAGTGATGAGACAACCAGCTAAATTCTGTCCACAAGTGAAATAAAACCATCAACTACATCATTTATAATGTGCATTTGTTTAATCCTTACAAAGAGGTGTGAAAACATAGTTTGCCATTTTATGGGATGTTATATAGGCTGCAAATTGTTGCTAGGTAACTCGTGGAAACTCTAGAAAATTTCTGCTTTTAGCCAAGAAGTAGTCTCGTACATCACCCTCCATAAAACCAGCCATTTCTACTTCAACATTTTTGTGCTGATAAAACAAATGTGATACACTGTGCTAATTAGTGAGTGCGAGGCATACAGGTGGGAGGATTTAGCTACTGTTTCTCCATTTTCAGTCTTTCTACTGAGCAAACAGCTGCTTCGACAGCTGCATCTTCATATTGGTACAGAAAACATGAACAACGAACAGTGATGTCAGAATCAGAGAGTCTTAAAGGCCTCATTAGCAAGTTTCCCAAAATGTAAATGCCAGACATGGCTGATTAGATATTGCTAGTCAAAGGTCAAAGATCACTGCGACCTCACAAAACACATTTATGGCCATAACTTGTGTCTGACAAAGTTTCTCACAGATGTCTAATAGGATCAAATTAAAGTAATGACACTTCATATCTAAAAAGGTCAAAGGTCAGTTTCACTTTGACAACAGAATGTTCTGCAGAAACACTTTTGTCACCATTGTTCATCGTCACAATTCAGTTGATACTAATCTGGGGTTCCTATATGCATTAAATTCCTTCATAATCGTCTCTACATATATGTTGTGAGTGACAGACATGGAGGTACGCTACAATTTTACTGGTTGGCAGAGACATACAATCACAAGACGGTAATTCTAGCTCCATAATTGTATGAATGTCAGATTTGATTCTTTCTAAAGCTCATCTACTCAATCCGTTTCCCCCTTTCAGCCGAGGCCATGACCAGACTTGGCGTGTCTCACAAGGTGGACGACTCCTCCGGATCCATCGGGAGGCGCTACGCCCGGTCGGACGAGATCGGAGTGGCGTTTGGCATCACGGTCGACTTCGACACAGTGAACAAGACGCCTCACACAGCCACCCTGAGAGACCGAGACTCTATGAGGCAAATCAGGGCCGAGGTAACAGTTAACTACTGTTTCTTTTACAAACAAAAAGTCACTTTTGTTGGTATTTTTTTATCCTAATTTTCCAAAATACATCTCAGGTTGCTGAGCTGCCTGGAATTGTTGGAGATCTGGCTAACGGCTCCTTGACGTGGGCTGAAGTGGAGAGAAAATATCCCATTTTTGAAGGACAGGAGACCAGCAGGAAGGAGTAACTAGACTGAGACTCTTCTACAAACAGGGGCAACATTGTCAACAAAGATTTGATATTCAACTGTGGACATTTCTGAAGACATTATGAATTTAATGATTTTATAAACTGGCAAATGCTGTATATGAAGATAAATATAGGCCTTATCATTTGACGGTATTCATAATTAATAGATTCCAGGGACTGTATGTTTGTCTGTAGGTCTGTTCAAACATAATACACAGATGAAGCGCTGCCTGAGGATTTAAATGTGCCACATGGACTGCTCATGCAACATGCTGTAGTCCCCACAGGCCTCCTACCTCCAACTGTGTCACCTGAGCAACTGTCTTAACACCTCCCAGTGGACAAGTATACTGTGACAGCAGAGAAAACATACAGCCTTGTATGGATCTGTGTTTCCTGCATTTTTTTTATACTGTAACCTTTGGTCGACCTTGTCAAATAAATCACATACTGGACGGCACTTTTCTCGTCTCCCACAGTCGTAGGATTGTTTTAGCCGCAGTAATGACACCATTGAACTCCACTGTATTGTATTTTGTGAATCTGTCACTAGTCGGCACTGCGTGTTGTTTCACGGCATACAGTTCGTTGTAGAATTTGAGACATGGACACTTGGCGAGGGCTCAAAATTGCAACAGGCTTAGACCTTCCCAAAACAGATCTGGCAACCCGGAATATGGAAAATAGCATGGAGAGAGAAGAGACAAGAGATCTTTGAATTGGACAATGTAAAAATAATTAAACAAATTCTAAAAATAAAAATGTCATATTGGGTGGTGTAATGCAGTACAGACATGAACAGTTGTTATTGTAAATTGTTGTTTCCAAATGATCAGTTTCATACAGTTAGTTTCAGCATTAAATAGACATATGGCTGCAGGAAGTGGGTTAACACTTTGCTGCATCATTTATGGAAGCAGAGACCATAATAGACTCCTAATATTGTGCAGCTTACAGTCTATTATAGTGATTTAGCAGCCCTCCTGTTCCGCCCCCCTCTGTGTCAGTGGCCAAAGTATAAATACTTGATGTCACCTTTACCCGGTGGCAGCTCCTTGTCAGGGAGTCCACCCTGCTCCTCTCTGTGGAGGCTCGACACATGCAAACGTTTACGTCCATGTTTTTTTTTTTTTTTTTTCAATGTGACATTTTAATCCGTGTTTCCCCCCCTTTTTGAACAAACAGAAAAGGTTTGTTGAACAACTTCCTCGGGCTCCCAACTGCTGCGTTCAAGGTCAGTATCACAACAGGTGCTGCGGAGGACGAGCTGAAGTGCATGACCGTTTGACATTTCCACTGCAGACAATGTGAAGAGAAAACAGGGAGAGCTTTTAATATAGCGAATCTTTTATTTAATTTAGCGTGGAAAACTGTCAGCCGAGTTTGATTTCTTTATTAAAAAGCGGCGTATTTAGTTTTTACTGCGCCCTGTGTGCGTAAAAGCTGGTGCGTAAATTCCCTGGAAAGAAGTTGTTTGGTTAAAAATAGCAAGCAGCTGCGCTTTGTTGAAATCGTTACCTCAGTCGATACTAATCAGCCTTACTGTCCTCCACTGTTCTGTGGCTGATAAATGAGTAATGTGGCGTACAAGTAAAGCAGATAAAATTCCTAAACGATTAAAAATTACGCATTATTCAGCAGGAGACTTTCATGGTGGGCTACAGGAGAAGGTGCAAAGAAATGCATCCAAGCAGCTACTGAACAGGCAACATTACCAGTATTTGGCAAAAGTGCAACTCTTTGATCCTTTACTCAAGTGGGGTCAGTGGTGGGAAGAAACCACACCCACCAGCCACAACATTAAAACCACTGGCAGGTGAAGTGAATAACAGTGATTATCAGTGACACCCGTGAAGGGGCGGGACAAACTGCAGCAATTAAACAGTCAATACATCAAGAATGGGCAGGGATAAGAATCTGAGCAACTTTGACAAGAGTGTAATGTGTAGATGACTGGGTGTCCAAAACAGCAGGTAGTTTAAGTGTTTCCAAAACAGTGGTTTGTGCCTATCGGAAGTGGTGTAGGGAAGAGAAACTGGTGAACAGGGGATAGGATTCGTGCCTGTTGATGTATATGGGGAGCGAAGGCTGGCCTATGTGGTCTGATCACATTTAAGAGCTACTGTTGCACAAACTGGTGAAAACCTCAATGCTGGCTACGATAGAAAGATGTCAGAACACGCAGAGTATCATTGTACAACCACAAACAAGTCAGAGTGCCCAATCTGACCCCTGTCCGCCACCAAAAGCACCAACAATGGGCACATGAGAATTTAGAACTGGACGGTGGAGCAATTTGTGTGTATAAAATGTTGATTTGTAGAAGAGATGGCCGCAAAATGCACTGTGAGAAGAAGGCAACATGGCAGAGGCTGTGTGATGCTCTAGACAATGTGGATGTTACTTCCACATGTATCACCTACCTGAACATGTTGTAGACCATGTTTACCGCTTCATGGCAACACAACTCCCTGATGGCAGAGGCTTCCTCCAGCAGGATATCACTTAAGAATGGTTTGAAGACAATAGCAAGGAGGCTTTGACTCAGCCTCCACATTCTCCAGATCTTGGTGCGATTGAGCATCTGTGAGATGTGCTGGAAAAATAAAAAATATATTGAAGCACTGCTGATGTTGTACAGATTCTTCTACATGTAGAAAATTTTAAAGGAGGAAAATATTTCCCTTTTTACTTCACTAAGTCTATTTTCAAACTCCACCAATATTATCGGCCTGATATTGGCATAAATATGTAATATCTGTCAATATCGTTATCGTTTTTTCTTTTTGCCTAAACCGAAAACCGATAAAATACTGCCTGGATTTTGCCAGTACTTACCAGTGCTCAAATGATGACGACATCAAACTATGTCGTGAAGCATGTAAACAAGTGTGGCTGCAGCAACAAACATATGTCGGTATTGGTTGATATTGGAATGGGAAATTGAGAGTTGGACAATATCGGCATATCTGATAATGTCCAATATTGGCAAAAAAGCCAATATTGGACATTTCACATACTGTGACACAGTGATATGAAATAAACTAAACAACAGTATGGAAAGTGAATAAGATTAAAAAAAAACTTTGCTGAACACATGAACCAATAATATTACGCTGTCAGAGGCCATTTTGCAGAATGAGTTACTGCCTTTTACTTTTTGGTGTATTATTCATCATTCATTACGTTTATTTAAGTGAAGGATGTGAAATCTTCTTGTTATAAAGTCACATTTTTTCAGCTATCACTGAACTACGATTAAAACTCACAATATTTAGCTTCATTTAACATTGTTGTGAGTAGAACTGTCAGATAAAATATAACATGTACAGTAAAAATGCTGAATGTCCCTCTGGAATTTACAGGAGTAAAAGATTACAGTGTCATTAAAGGGAACATTACTCAAATGTTGTACTTACATCACAGGAAACATCTTTTATAACTCTCCACCTCTGATAATGTGTCTGAGCGAGTGCAGAAGTTCAAACATGACAGTTGCCTAAACTAAGAATGACAGATGAGTTGAGAAGCTTATTTTAGTTACACTGTAGGAAAAAAAAAAAACAGAATGGATGTCTCTATTATAAACACTGCGGTGAAAACTGTTGCACTTTCATTTGTGTTTGATAAGATTACAGCTGCTGGTTCAGGACTGCACTTTGGCTGACAGTCATAATGTGTTCTTTTTCCGGCTGTAGTGCAGAAGTGAGTGGGATGTAAAGGATCAGAGTAAGATGTAATCATAGTGAATCATCAGGACATGTTTTTTTTTTTTTGTAGACAAGATGAGGAAACTCTGTAATGCTGTGTGTTGTCATTCCAGAAATAAAACCTGTTTTCATTGGACAGATAAAGTGTCGATTGCTGTGATTGTGGTTTGTGTTCAGGAGCCTCCAGAGCTCTTGTCTCCTGCCAGCTTCATCATGGGGATCAAAGCTGCTCTTCCCAAATATGAGATCTACTTCTACAACACGGTGTTGTGTCTCGCCATGTTCTGGGCGGCCAGCTGGATCTTTGAGGTGTCCAATTGTGAGTATGAGGAAGCAAACACACATAAGGAAATATACTCAAAAGTTTGATCACGTGTTGAAAACTACTCGAGTAAAGCACATATCTTTTGAAGACTTTTCTAATTATAGGCTGTTTGTTTATTCTTAGGGTCCAACATTTAGCCTGCTGGACTGTTTGGGCCGATTCCAATATCTAAAATCTGATTATATCAAATTACTATGTTAGATTTAGTACAAGGTGACTTCTGCTGATTGTGTTTAGTTCAGAACCAAAGGATATTAAACCTACGAATTTGTACGGCAAAGATAAGCATCACATTTAAGATGCTAAAAGGTATCTTTGCTTTAAAAACTATTGGTAATGCAATTATTAAAACCGTTCCAGGTCTATTTGGAATGTATACGTTTTTAAATATCAACGGTAAGTTTATGGTTCCCCGAAAAAATAAATGAAAATCCTGAGCAAGCACACATGTGTTTTCAGCTTTGGTTGATGTTTGGAGGAGATTTGATTTTTGGGTGCTTTCCAGAACCTGACCAGAACATTCCAGGTGTTTCCACTCCATTTGTAGATAAACCCTCTGAACCTCAAGACTCTTCAGTGGGTTTGAAAGGCATGATATCTTTTTTAGAATCCTTAAAATGACACCATTTATCATCACCATTTATATTTCAAGTTTCATTGAATGTATCATGAGTCACATAGAGTCTCCTGAGCAAAATTAACAAAATTGACCAAATCTAAGCTTAAACATAATTTGATTCTATTACATTAAATCACATTATACTACACGTCAAAAATAAATGGTTTTTATTAACCAGATTCTGTACAGAACAAAATAGTCTGTATTTCATTGCACCTGAACAAAATGCACAGCTTTAACCAACAATTATGTTACAAAAATTCAGGGACTATACAGCTGAACTGGGCTGAACTGCAGGCTGTGTTTTACATAAAAGAAGTATGGAAAGAAGGTAAAACATTTAAGCAGTAAAATATCTATAGCATATTGAGTCCCCATGTTTCCCCTTAGTGTTGTTAACAACAGTGGAAACTTGGAAAAATGTTGTGTGTGTTCATTTCATGTTTTTTCCCCCCTAGTTTTGTCAAAAAAATAAATAATAAATCTAAGAAATTCCACGTTTTTTCTTTGATTTATGGCCATTCAACTTGCCATAACTATAGCGGACAGCATTGTTGAGTTCTGTCTTATTCTAGCCATGGTTGTGTTGTTTGCATAGGAGAATTTATATGGAGTTCAGAGCATTAAAATAGATATTCAACTGGGTATAATGGCTGAATCTAAAAAGAAACTCTTTCTTTGCCAGCATGAAGAACTATGACAAGATGGAAACCACCATCTGCTGCTGTTTCACAGTCACTGATAGATTCATATCTGCTATCTGGACTCCAGTCGGACGTGTTGTTCTGCCTTTTCCATGTGCTAACATGC